TATATATATATATATATATATATATTTTTATATATATATTTTTAAATTATATATATATATGTGTGTGTGTATATATATATATATATATATATATATATATATATATATATATATAAATTATATACATTTAATTATAAATTAAAAAATATAAATTATATAAATTATAATTATATAAATATATATAGTCTGTTCATCCATCCATCCATGCAGTAAGTGTCCTTTATTGAATCATATCTGTGCAGTTACATATCCCTGATAATAACCCCAACTGGAAATGTTGATTAAATTGCCCCCTCTAGTGTACAAAAGGGGATATGGCATGTGTTCGAAATGGCTAAAAAGTGCAATACCATAGCAGGTTCGAACAGCATAGAGGGCGCTAATTTTCATTTACCTCTGTGTTTTAATCAGATATGATGTTTAAAAGAGCAAATTAATATCTGTCTGATACTGTCACAGTGTGTCTGATATTTTTTTCTTCTGGAGAAAGTCTTGTTTTTTTTTATTTTGGGGAGAATAAAAGTAGTTTAAAAAAAAAGATTAAAAAATATTATAAAAAAGATTTTAAAAATAAATTAAAAAATATATACGTGTGTGTGTGTGTGTGTGTGTGTATATATATATATATATATATATATATATATATATATATATATATATATACATGTGTGTGTGTGTATTTATATATATATATAAATACACACAATTTATATATATATAAATTATATACATTCAATTATAAATTATAAATATTAATTATATAAATATATATAGTCTGTTCATCCATCCATCCATGCAGTAAGTGTCCTTTATTGAATCATATCTGTGCAGTTACATATCCCTGATAATAACCTCCACTGGAAATGTACCGTTTGAATGTAATTTAGGAAAAGCCATCATACTTCAGATAAAAAAATAAAAAAAAACACTTTCATTTCTTTTAAAGTAGTTTATGTAGTTAGATACAGACTATGTGAATACCAACAAAGTTTAATACTAGTAATAAAACACACTATCACTGCTACTAATATATTTAAATAATAGTAGCATAATATGTTAATATACTAAAAAGTTGTACTTTTCCAAGCTCTCCTAGGATGAGGAAAGAAAGAGGGACGAAGAAGCCCTAACTAAAACACAGCTGATACAAACAATCAAAAATAGTTACCAATTTGATTGGTTGCATCAGCTGTGTTCAATTTGGGCGGGATCAAAACTGTGCAGAGCTGCGGCCCTCTATAAATTGAGCTTGAGACCCGAGCCAGAGATGAATCCTTTTAGAAGATGTGCTGATGGAGAAATACTGGTTGTCTGACTAATGCTGTTTCACACTTCTCTTCTTGCAGGAACTGAGGGAAAGGCATGTAACAGGAACAGTGAGGATGAAGTGCAAGAGATGGCTGCCACCTACGACCACCTATTCAATTTTTGCTTAGCTTCATGATGTAACATCTGATCAGTCAAAGGTGAGACCTGAACCAATTTACACCTTACTCAAAATGGTGGTCAGTTGCTAAACACAAATACCTGTTATTTCCATCAGACCTAAGTAACCTTGAGGGATGTGTCCATGGCTAAGGCGGAAGGAGATGTGATGACAGAAGACCGTGTGTGTCAGAATTCTAGCTAAATTAAATAAAATAAAAAAAACTAAATTATACACTAAATGAGGACTCAGAACCCCTGAAACGCATAAATAACCGCCCCAATCACACCAAATATACAAAACAGGTTGACCTAAACTTTTCACATTTTCCACTAAATTCTGAAGTCTTTCCAGTTTTTTTTTTTTTTTTTTTTTTGCACGAGACTTCCTACCAGCACAACAAAAACTGTTTCTCAAGACAACTGCCTACTGCAACTTTAACAATTATTGTTTTCAAAATTGTTTTGTCCTCTTTTTAAAATCTCTCTCTCTCTCTCTCTCTCTCTCTCTCTCTCTCTCTCTCTCTCTCTCTCTCTCTCAGGGGATGACTTCAACTTCAGGGGATGACTTCAACTTCAGGGGGTTACAAAGAGAGAGATGAGGGAGCTTGACAGCCTCTTGAAGTAGTTTTGGACTGAGAAGACTGATCCTGATGGCAGAATGAATGAGACAGCAGGCGTTTTTTAACTTCATCATGGACTATTTGCTCTATATTGGTGAGAACTGAACCCCTTTACGTAACACTTTTTACAAAACAGTATAATCGCAAAACGCATACCTGTTCTTTCCACCAGACCCAAGTAACCTGGAGAGTGACGCATCCCTATTGAAGGCGGAAGGAGTTAGACTGGCTGTGTGGACAGCTCTGTGTGCCAGACAGCTACCTGAGACAAAAGAAGATTTACATCAAAGAAAGGCACAAAATTTTGCAAAACAGGGAACGTATGAGACTTCAAAATTTAGGTACAAAAAAATCGTCAAAGGTTTACATGTTTTGTGTATTTGGTGTGATTGTGTGTTGGGGCGTTCTGAGAGGTCTTGAGTTTTTTTTTTTTTTTTAATTTATTTTTTTTTTTTTTAAACATTTAAAATATTTCGAATTGAGAAAACGACAAGCTGAGGGTGTGTTGTGTTTTTCAGGGGTTCTGAGCAGCACTAGTACACTGAAAAGTGTTTAATGCTGAACTGTTGCAAACAATTTACTTGTGTTGAATTTAAACAAACAAATTAAACTTAATAATGTTCAACTTAATTTGTCTGTTTAAATTCGGGCTAAATTGTTTACAACCACTTAACGTAAAAAAAGTTAAAGGAATCATCTTTGAATATAATTTTCAGTGTAAGAATGAAACTTAATAAATATTTATAATTGTTCTAAATATTGTCTTTGTAGTTCTTCTTCTTCTCTTTTTCTTTTTAAATCTCCATGTATACTTTAAACACTGGGATACTAGTCACTGTGAATGGTTTGGTTACCATGATTAACTGGGAACACTGTTGCCAGTTAATTTGACTGTCCAGTTAACAGAGCGGTCACTAACTGGGAGCTGCTTGCTGTCATGTACTGTAGTGTTAATACTGCAAACACAATTTTGTGTGTATGTAATTTTATTAACATTTTTATCATCATGCTTTTTCTATTAAAGTTTCTGTGCACTGCTGAGAGTGGAATTGAGTATTTATTTATTGTTTTTAAAATCTGTATTAAACTACTTTGTTGCCAGAATGATGCATTGTGCAGTTTAGATGATCGGTCACACTTTCATGTTTAGATTCAGGCAGAGACTCTGTGCAAGTGTGTTTAATGTCTAAATCATGGCTCACCAACCTTTTTCCATTTATTTATTTATATATATATATCTTCGTGAGTTTTTTTTTTTTTTTTTTTTTTTTTAATAATAGATGTGACTTTTTTTTTTTATATATATATATATATATATATATATAAATATATTGCATGCCATTATCTCTCACACACAAAGTGTATCTTACTGAATTTAAAATAAAACAATGCCTTGACACTTGCTGTTTTTGTGATCAGTAATGCCAGTCGATGAGCTGCTGGAAAATGCAACAGTAGAAGTACATAAATGTATCTTCATGTTAAATTAAAATCTTTTCTGTAATTTGCAAGATCAAAACAAACAACAACACCACACCCAGAGCAAATCAGAACGAAGCAACCTTGACCATTCATGACACCCATAGAAGCCTTAGAGAAGCATCAGATGCCTTTACAAAAACAGACATTCCTGCTGCGCAGACAAAGCTGGCTGCTCTAAAGTCGATCATTGCAGACCAGAAGCAAAGAAGTTGAGCTGGATGGCCTCCTGGAGCCATTTTGACCTGAGCAATCAGATCCCATGGAGAGGGTGAATCAAAGGCAGCATATGTGGAGTGGAGAGTAAGCCTTATACAGATGAACCTGTTTGACAACCTAAGAATTTCTCAATCAAAGTCAAGATCACTTGTTAATATTAATAATAAAATAAAAACTAAACTCCTGACAGTACATGGCGTTTTGATTGTTTATCTCGTAAATATATATATATCTTTTTATTTTAGTGTGTGTGTGTGTGTGTTTTGGTTACATGTGACTTTAGTTGCAAATATAGCCAACATGCATGCGCACACACACACACACATACACAAATCTAAAAAAGTCACAAATGCAATCTGCTACTGTGTGAAAATTTGATGTTATTTACAGGTGTGCAGAAAATTAGCATTATCGATCAGCTTCTGCTCAGGGGAAGTAGGGATCATCTGTGGCAGTGTAATTTGTCTCCACATATGCTCAATTCAAAGAAGCAATCCTCAAATCTTTTTTTCAGTTTTCATTTATTTTTGCATGAGGAAACATCTCATCCTTCATCATAATGCCTGTGAGTGTCCAGTCAGCATGCATCATTTGATCAACGTTTCAAAATATATTTTCAAAAAGAAAATCTTTTCCACATTAGCTTCAACAGTACAAAAGGAAAATGCGTCTTTTGGTTTCTTTTTGCACCGTTTGAATCTAATTTAGGAAAAGCCATCATACTTCCGATTA